AAAAAAAAAAAAAAAAACTTCAATCAAAGTTTAATATATATACGGTATCCTGCCACATTTTTGTATGAATATAATGTCGACTTTAAAATTACATTTAATTAATACAATTACTAAAATCTGCAATGCTTTATTTATTTATTTATTTATTATTATTTTTATTAATATATAGGTACGAGGAGGAAATACTGAAGGTGGGGAGGACTAAGAAGAACCTAATGTTTGTCGGAGACGGTAAGGGCAAAACGGTCATTACCGGTAATAAGAGCGTTGCTGACAATATGACAACCTTCCATACTGCGTCATTTGGTAAGTAAAATGACTAAAATCCTTTTCCTTTTTATCTGGCTTTCACTTTTTATCCTTTTTCCACAATATATTTTATTTTCTATAATAATTATGAATTCTAACATAATTTTTGAAGAAAATTGCATTTTTACATTTTAAAAGGTCAAACATTATAGTTGTTTAAATTGTTAAGAGGAATTACAGCTAGCTGTTGGTTTGATTTTGTTCGACTCATTAGTCTTCTACCTTGAAAAAGAAAAGAAACAGAAAAAACCTTTTATTAAGTAAGGTTAGGGGTGAGCAATGAGTCTTTAAACGAAACCTAAGCCGAATCGTGTAATTCAATGAGGTCGGTTCGGTTCGAATTTGTTTGATAAATAGTTGAGCCCGGTTCGACTCGTCTGATAAACAACCGAGCTCGAACTCACTTAAAGCTCATTGTTAACGAGTCAGGTTCGACTCAGTTCGACTTTATTGATACGGTTCGTTAAGTCTTGAAAGGATAATTTTTAAATAATTTTCTACGGCTCATTAAAGCTTAAAGATCGACTTGTTAATATTGGTAAATGAATCGAGCTCGCGCTCGATTTCTGACTTGTTTACTTAACTATCCCACCACCCTAAACTCGAGCTCGACTCGATTTGTTTACTGCCCTTGCAAAGATTTGGGTCACATCTGTTGTCTTCGTTAGGACACGAGCGACAAAATGATGAAATTTCTTAGAAGACCGACTTTCTTAAAAAGGAAAACATGATAGCCTTGAAGACTTGTACAATGGACCTACACGGACTTGCTTATGTGTATATCCCAAATGAGTACTGCTATGTCATGTATAATTTGTTTAACATAATGGATTATGTGAAATAATAATAATAATAATAATAATAATAATAATAATGGATGATGTGTAAGAGTAAGATTTGTTAATATTAAAGTTGATGTGATGTGTAATTTTTGTCAGCATTATATAACCTTTATGTCAGTCGTTAGGTTACTGTAGCATAACACATCCTCAAATAATTATGACTACCTCATTAAATCCTCAATTCTTTTTATCAAAATTGGTCAATTCATTTAATCGAATCATGCAAGTTGGCATGTACGTAGCTGCGACCGGCAACGGCCTCATATTGAAGGACATCACATTCGAGAATTTAGCCGGGCCAAGCAATCATCAGGCAGTCGCCCTACGTATCGGGGCCGACCAAGCCGTGATCTATAACTGCAGCATCATCGGGTATCAAGACACACTGTATGTCCACTCCCAGAGACAGTTCTACCGAGAATGCGACATCCACGGCACCGTAGACTTCATATTCGGAAATGCGGCCGTTGTCTTCCAGAGTTGCAACATCTACGCTCGGAAACCACTGCCATCTCAAAAGAACACCATCACAGCCCAGAGCCGCCAGGACCCGAACCAGAACACTGGCATCTCAATCCACAACTGCTCTATCATGGCTGAGCCCGACCTTATGGCCAACAAGAGCGAATATCCCACGTACTTGGGGCGACCGTGGAAGTTTTACTCACGAACGGTCTACATGCTATGCAACATTAGTGACCATATTGACCCTAAGGGGTGGCTCCAGTGGAATCAATCATCGTTCGCGCTTGACACGTTGTACTATGGGGAGTACAAGAATTATGGGCCTGGGGCCGTCACCATGCAGCGCGTGAATTGGACGGGCTATCATGCGATTATGCCTACGGATGAGGCCAACAAATTTACGGTGGGCCGGTTTCTATCCGGCTCGTCGTGGTTGCCCTTGACCGGGGTCGCGTTTGAAGGCGGTTTGGGGATTGTGAATTAAGTTGTACCTATAAAATGGGGATTGAAAAATGTGTTTAATTTCTTCATGTGGTATATAGTGATTAATATTTCTCTTTGTTATTTGTTTGATTTATTTTCACACATTTTTCCGAATTGGGTCATGATTCAAACCATTTTCAGCCCAAGGAAATAATATGTACCACCATTTATTAGGAGCATCTAAAGCCCGGATCATCGAAAGCCCAATTATATACCACATACATTTTCACACACAGCACACACTGAACCCCTCCAATGGCGCTCTCCAAGCTCACCCTCCTCAACCACCTCACAAAAGCCCTACCCAAACCCGGCCGCCCTCGATCCTACGCGCCGCCGCACGCCTTCCTCCCGATCCGCCTCCTTTCCTTCTCCACGCCTGAAGAAGCCGCCGCCGAACGCCGCGAGCGCAAACTCCGCCTCCGCATCGACCCGCCGTTCTCCGCCTTCCGCCACAAGCATCCGTCCCCGGCGACGTCGTCGGTGCAGAACCCAAACACCCCCAAGATCCCCGAGCCGGCCTCCGCCCTCTCCGGCAACCGCCTCAACCTCCACAACCGCGTCCTCAAGCTCATCCGCGAGAACGACCTCGATGAGGCGGCGCTCTTAACGCGCCACTCGATCTACTCTAACTGCCGCCCGACAATCCACACCTGCAACTCGGTCATGGCTGCCCAGCTCCGGCAGTCTAAGTACCCCGACCTCCTCTCCCTCCACCGTTTCATCACTCAGGCCGGCGTCGCCTCCAACGTGGTCACTTACAACATCCTCTTCACCCTTTACCTCAATTGCCGGAAAATCGATCTAGCCCTAGAGACGTACAAGCAGCTTATCAAAGAGGTCCCCTTCAACCCCTCCCCCACCACTTACCGCATCCTGATCAAAGGATTAGTCGAAAACCAGCTAGTCCAGAAAGCCGTCGAACTTAAAAACGACATGGAGAAGAAGGGTTACAAACCCGATCCCACAATCTATTCCTACTTGATGTCCGGGCAAGCGAAGAATTCAAACGCTGAATTAATTTTCGATTTGTATGATGAATTGAAGCAGAAATTGGGAACAGACCACATTTTGGATGGTATCATTTATGGAAACCTAATGAAAGGGCATTTCTTGAAAGGGAATGAAACAGAAGCCATGGAGGTGTACAAAATAGCTCTAGTCCACGACTCGCCGGTTAAGATGAACCCCTTTGCGTACAATTACATCTTAGAGGCCCTGAGCAAGAACGGAAAATTCAACGAGGCGCTGAATTTGTTCGAGAGGATGAAGAACGAACACAATCCCCCGAAAACCCTAACCGTGAACTTAGGCAGCTACAACATTATGGTCGAGGGATACTGTTCGGAGAAAAAATTCGACCTCGCCGTTGAAGTTTTCAATAGCATGGGTGAAAAGAGGTGTTTGCCCGACACTCTATCCTACAATGTCCTGATCGACCAGTTGTGTAATAATGACAGGCTGGCTGATGCCGAGGAACTATACAATGGCATGGCTGATAAAAACATAAGCCAGGATGAGTACACTTTTGCAACCCTAATGAACGCGTGCTTCAAAGAGAACAGGCCGGACGATTCGGCCCGATACTTCAAGACAATGGTGGACTCAAAACTGAAGCCCAATTTGACTGTCTACAACCAGTTGATTGATGGTTTGGTGAATGCGGGAAAAATAGACGAGGCCAAGTCGTTTTTCGACATGATGGTGCCGAAAATAAGAATGAACGACGAGTCGTACAAGTTCATCATGAAAGCCCTTTTTGAGAACGGTAAACACAATGAGGTGATGGGAATTGTGGGTGGTATGTTGAGAGAAGAGCCGTGTGGGTTTACTGAGGAGATCGAGGAATTTGTTCGGGAGGGGATGAGGATTGAGGGGAGGGAGGATGAGGTGTCGGATATCAAGGCTGAGGTGGACAGGGAGAAGGCTGAGGAGGCTGCTCGGGTGGCGGCGGAGGCCGAGCGGGCGAAGGAGAGCGCAAGGGCAGCTGTGGCGGCATTGCTGCCGTCTAAATTTTTGCGTGGTGATGATAAGAACAGTGATGATGACTGGAGTGAAGGGCGAAATCGGGATTTCGAAGAGTTGGGTGAGAGGGAAAGTGAAGGTGGTGTTGTGAAGGAGGTGACGTTTTGATGGGTTATGGTGTTTTGTGGGTGTTCTTGAGATTTTTCCTTTGGATTTGTCACTTCTTTTTTCTTTTCCTTGTTATCTTATTCTTTTGATTCTTAGGAAGTATAAATGCGAGGTATAAATGCACCTCCATTGAGCTATCTTTTTTTCATGTGTTTGAGATGTGCATATGATGGTATTATTATGATGTAATGATGAAGATGAGTGGTATCTGCATGATCCTGCCAATTGATGTGTACTTTTTAGTTGTAAATTGTGTGTTTTTTTTTAAAAAAAACTTTGTGTTGAGTATGTTTTGATGGTCTTGCTGGCACAATGTTAGTTTAGGTTGTTAATCATCGAAAATTCGATCCTATCAGTGAGGGTTGTATCATCATCGGGTTTTTCTATTGCTGAGTGTTAAATCAACACTCGTGTGGATAAAAGAACTCGGTGAGGATAGTACACAGTATCTCCATCGGGTTTTTTTTTTTTTTTTAATTGTTGAGTGTTAAATCAACATTCATGTGGGTAAAAGAACTCGTGAGCATAGTACAGAGTATCAACATCGGGTTCTTTTATTGTTGAGTGTTAAATCAACACTCAAGTGGGTAAAAGAACTCGGTGAGCATAGTACACAGTATCATCACCGGGTTCTTTTATTGTTGAGTGTTAAATCAACACTCATGTGGATAAAAGAACTCGATGAACTCGGTGAGGACAGTGCATACTATTGCCATTGCCTCACTAGTAGGGTCGAATTTGTGGTTATCATTTGTTATTGTAATTCTGATGTAAACATATAGAGATGAACTCAGGAACTCGGGGGGTGATTGGAAATAAAAGAATTTGGTTTTCATTGAATTTATGGTAGGGAATGAGTTAATTTTTAAAATAAATTCATTGAGTAGAGAAATCAAAGAATTTGGTTTTGATTGAATTTATGGTATATAATGAGTTAACTTTAAAAGAAATTCATGGAGGATTGATTGAGATTTTGTGTTTGTATTTAAATAATATTTAAAATGTAGTTTTGAGTTAAAAATGTGTATAAAAATTATCCATTCAGTCAAAGTTGGATAAAATCTGTTTCCAATGGTCTGAAACCATATCACAATCTCAGTTTACAACAGAAAACACATTTCATTCTTTCAAGTAGCCTGTCAAAATACACAAACAAAAGAAAACAACAGCAGAAGTTAAAAGAATGAAAACATTCGACTCACATAATCATCAGCTACAGAGATTAGGTATGCAGGCTCCGTTATCCGAACCCTGCTGTTCTTTCCAAATCCGACCCGTTACCCTAAGCTTGAGCTCCTTTCGGTCCCCACCCGAGAAAAAGAGGGCCATATTCCTCTGTATGATGAGTCCATCATGGCTATCACGTACCTTACGGTGACTGTCCCGTATGCTTCTTGGGGTTCCTTCCCAGACGAGCTTTCTCCCGTTTGCGCCAACTTCCAAGCTGTACGTGTAGTTACGAGACTCGTTTTCATCTCCCATGAATCGGAGAAAGGCCATATAAACGGGGGCCATTCCCAGCTGAAAGGCCTCAAAGTGTAGGCAAAAATACTGCCCAAAACAATGGAATACCTAACAAAATCGAATGAAAAAGACTTAATTTTTTTGTTTAGATAGAAACTCAGAAAAGTTAATTTAGGCTATAAACCTAGCTGATAAGCCAGCATTGAAGTGAATTTTGAGTTTATAGTTGATAGCTTATGACTTATGGCCGCAAAAACTAGCTTATATGATAAAAATGTTTAGTAAAATTTGTTGATAAGCTAGCTGAAAAAAAAAAAAAAAAAATCAATGGACTTAATTTGAAAAGCTACCCAATGGAACTTATGAGATAAGCTCGAGTTTTTTAAAAAAGTTCGTCGTACCAACCAAGTTTATTTGAATGTAGAGATCTTATAAGCTAATTAAATAAGCCATAAGCTAGCTTATATGTTTACCAAACACAACCTTCATAGATGATTGCAAGAGCTACCCATGAGGTATGGCTTAATTAATGAAAAGCCTAGGTAACTTGTGGAATTTGCATTATACCACCCATAAGTTTTTTATAGCATCCATCTTATACCTTTGCCTTCCATATATGCATTTTGTTGGAGCTAATGGAAATTCCTGATATCGTTGGCTATTTAGAATTCGGTCAGTTCACACCCCTCAAATTTGTTCAAGATTACAAAACAACCCCAAGCTTTCAGCTCTGTCGACGTTTGTAGATATTGCAAGCAGAAAATTTGAGGGGTGTTGCAGTTTAGAATAATCATATCATATTACCACATGCAGTTTAGCTATAAACCTAATTTGCATCTACCTTAACAATAACATTTCTAAAAAACAAATACTAATAAAAAAAAGAACACTCACAGTCAACATCCACGTGGCATTTTCGACTTCACGAGGGTTCGACTTTACATATCGGTGGTTGAAAGTGCATCCGCTGTGCATGTCCACTTTATGATCGTCCCTCAAGTGCGAAACGAGAAAAGGTATATCCCCCGTGAAAGCACACTCGGAGCCTGCATAAGGGCAACTATACGGTCTGAAATTGCAAATTGCTTCGTGTTTGAGTTTGCCGTAGTAAGGAAATATTTCGGGGCAGCCCAAAGAGAAAAACTTGCACGGAAGCTCGAGTGACTCGGCAACTTTCTCTAAGGCCAAACACCTGATATCCCCAAGCTCCTGTCGGCATGTGGGGCAACGGTTGTGTACTCTCGTTTTGCAAGTCGAGCAAAGAGTGTGCCCATTGTGACACTGTCGAAAAAGATCAATGAAAACTAAAACAAAAAATCATTCCTCATCGATACACGACTTTTGTATTAAGTTGTAACATTTCGGGATTGTATCGTGAGTAGGCCTATAAACGAGCTGTCAGCTGAGCCAGCCCTTAACTAGTTGAGCCGACCTCAGTTCGTTAAATAAACGAGCCAGAAATCGAGCTCGAGCCTTAAAGTCTATAGAAAATTATATAAAAATTCTCTTTTCGAGCATTAACGAGCTTATCGAGTCAAGTCGAGCCAAGCTCGGCTTGTTAAGGCCTCGAGCTCGAGCCGAACTCGAGCCTTAAAGAGCTGAGTTCGAGCCGAGCCGAGATGAGCCAGACTCATTTAATTTAAAAGCACTAATCGTGACTCGGAGTACTGAAAAAGTTAAAACCCGAGATTATTGAACTCGTTTTCCTCAATTGTCAGACTCGATACATCGAACCGAATCCTTGCATTTTCATGTTTCTACCTACGGAAGCTCCGAGTTTCGAGTTTTTCTGATCAATGGCACAAATTCAGGAACAATCAGCATACTCGGAACGAATGGTAATCAAACAACAGATAGTAAAAATGTTCCGATCTACGCCGGAAAAAAAAACTCCGTCCGATCAAACGTTTATTGCTATTCATATTTCCATTTCCTTTTCCTTCAAGAAAAAGAGGTGCAAACACACAGCCATATAAAAAGGGAACAACAGAATTGCATTCATGAGGTAAAACAGATTTGTATTGTTTCTAATACAAACCTTGACATATACTCAGGAATATAAAAAGCTAAGAAGGAGACTAAAACAAGAAACACACACACACACACACATAGAGAGAGAGAGAGAGAGAGAGAGAGAGAGAGAGAGAGAGAGACCTGGTGAATAGGTGGGTACATAGAATTAGTACAAACAGGGCATTCGAGCAATTCATGAACACTTGTGGGTCCAGATGAAATTACATTAAGAAGGCGCTTTGAAGAATATTGATTGGGATTAGAAGACACAGCTGCTGCCTGGATCTCTTCATCAGATGAAGATACACACTCCACATTTTCCATTTCAATGGTCGCCATTTTTTTCTTTGGAAAATATTTTTGTTTATAAAGAAAAGAACCCAAAAAAAAAAGGACTTTCCAACTTCCAAGCTTCTCTGCAACAAAGATCCAATCTTTCTTCACGGACAAATGGCCACTTTTTATAGACTGCTTTAATTTTTTTTCTTCAATAATTTGAAGGACCCATGTTTAGAAACTCAGCCATTTGGAGAAATAACAGATTCCCATTTCAAAAATGTTTGATCTTTGACGGAAATTTGAGGTGCCCGTTTCGAAAAAAAATCGAATCTTTCTTTGATTTAATATTGGGCGCATGTAATCCTACGAAAAAATCAAATCTTGTGATTTTTCAGATAAAGCTGGAATTTAGAAGAACCTGCAAAGAGGAAAATGGAGGAGAAACATCCTGAGATCGGTTCGAAAAGAACAGAAAAAAAAAAAAAAAAAAAAAAA